AAGGACAAGTGCCCAGAAAGGAGCCACAGGATGAAATGAAACTGATATAGAGCAGCAGTTGTTTGCACTCCACAGGACAGTGCTGTGCTAGAAACCCAGCGATAAGCTACAGACCAAAGAGGCAAATCCCTGAGCCCACGGGGAAGGCTTTGGATTGAGGCTTTGCTTTTGAAGATCTCCAAAAGCAGAAGTTTACTTTGGATGAAGGGGAATATTCTCCTATATATAGCAGAACAGCCAAGGCAGTAGCTGTAGCACAAAAATGAAGCTCAGAGCTGCAAGCAAAATATGGGCAATCCAGGTTTAATTGCCAAAGTCAACATCTGCCCAGTGGTGGGAGCCCTAGAAGCAGGAGGCATCGCTATGGCGTGACCCCTACAACTAGGGAGAGGGGTTTCCTCTGCTGAATGCTTAATTCAGGCGGGTTTCTAGAGATGAATGAAAACTGCATGCCATAAGGGAGGGCCAGGAATAGAAAGCCCATGTGGGGGAAGAATGCTCTAGATGTAGCGAATACATCTCCAAGAGTTTTTATCATTCTTATTTTGTCCCTACTATCAACAATAATAAGGAAGGAGCTTACAGAACAGCCTTTTCAATCCCTAAGCAATGCATCCAGAGATTAGGTGCAGAGAGCAGTGGGCAGCTCGAGAAAAGCTGTTCAACAAATGTAGAGGCATGCATAATAAGATTACTGAATTGGAGTTGCATGTTTTCAAGGATAAACGTGATATTATTGCATTGGCAAAGACATAGTAGGAACAAGGTGAAAGATGAGAAATAGCCTGCCAGAGCTGTGGGACTGCTGCAACTGGGCTCCCAGCAGAACAGAAACAAGGGAGAAGTGGAGACAATGAAGAGGAGCAGCTCCCCATGAGCAGAGAGGAAGACCATATCCTACTTGACATGCAGATATGCAGAACAGCTTTTTTGCAAAGTGGGTGATGTCATCATGTTTTTCTCAGCCTTCAGGACAGCAAGAGAAAAATAGATTGCATAGGAGTCTACAAGACAAGCAGGCTTTTCCCCCTACCCCCCTCTCTGCAAAACTAATTGCTCAAATATTGATCAGGAAAATAATTTGAAAGGGCTAAAAGAAGGAAGGACTTCTTTTCCTCCTCAGAGGCAAAAAGGGTAATGTTCTTGCAGAGCTGCTGGAAAGATCCAAGTGTTCAGAGGATTTCCAATACTGTAAGAGCTAATTAAGGCGCTGAGTTGGTCTGGTTTTTTTGCTCATACAGGAAAGCAAACAACTGAAGTTTGAGATTTTTCAGAATGCCCTGAAGTCTGACTGGATTTACAACTGTGCTGGCTGTCCCAGGGGGCAAGAGTGCCCCACCAGGCAGACAAAACCACAGGTCCTAACCAGGGCAATTAGTGAGAACAGCAGCTATAGCAGGGACTTTTACTCTGGAAATCTGGATTGTGGCTGGCAGAAACCAGCAGCCTAGGTTTAGCCTTAGTGAGGGAAAGCACAGTGAAGATAAACCCCCAAACCAGAGTGCTGGAGGACTGCTAGTCACTGCTGCCCTAACACAGGCACTAAGTCCTGAGAAAAAGCAGCAGTTGTTTTGCTTCTGGAGAGATGTTTTTCTTTCCTGTGAAAGATACAAAGGAAAAAAAATCCATCTAACAAAATGTAATAACTATCTCAGAAAATATCTGTACCTCATCTTCATCTGGAAGAAATCTAGACAGCAGTGAGCACCAGGAAGTCCTTCATTGTTACAAATGTGTTTTGTGAGTAAACCAAAGCACAGAAGGAATGCTATTGAGGGAAAAACAAACAAAAACCTTGAAGCAGATTGGAAAAAATGGTAAAATAAAAATAATAAAGCAAGAACATGCAAAGATAGCAATCACAGGAAGAAGAGGAAGCACTCACAAAGATTTCAGTGAATATTTCTCAGGGATATATGGGAGGAGAAACTGATCCTTTAAAGTATCTTGCAAGGTTAGAAAGAGAGAAATGAAAAAATGTACCAAACAAATGTCAATTGAAAGAACCATCTTCAAATATATGTTTATTTTTCCCTTTGATATGGAGTCTCTTGTGCTGAGTTTTGTGCATTAATTTTCCCCACTGGGTGAAGTGAGCCCAGCAGTGCCTCAAAGTAAAGCTGACTGCAGGGTGAGATGATTCATGTGTCTGTTGCAAGGATGCGGGGTGGGTCACAAGGTGGCAATCCTAGGGCTTCAGCAGCTGCCTGGTTCTTCATCTCAAAGCTCTCAAGGAATGGGCATTACGAAGTCTATCAATGCTTTGATATATGTGAGATGTAACATTGGATCTAAGTCATCACTTGCCAGGAGGTGGTTAGTTTAAAAGTCAGGTTGATTAGTCAAAAGACATGGCTAAATCCCCTATAGATAATGGAGCAATATATACATATAACGTATTAAGGGCTGGGGGATTCTTCTTTATTTTAACGTCCTTTTCCACCCTGAGGTACATCATGTATGATTCCTTTTTAAAACAAACAAGCGAAGAAGTCCCACACTCTCAGAATTTTAATGATCCCTGTATGACCATAAGAAGTTCTGCAGTATGGAGGAGTCTGGTTAGATATTAGAAAGAAAATCTGCCTAGGAGTTGAGCTACATTGCATGGCTTCCTAGGACTCTGTGTTTGGTTTAGAGATAAATAAGCATTTGTAGTCATTTTCTAGATTCCTTATAGAGAACATGAAGGGAGCCTGTACCTGCTACATTTAAATGGGAAAACAAACAAACAAAAACAAAAAAACCCACCAAAAAACTTTTGCATTGAGTGGCACAAGTCTGAAGAAAAAGAATAAACAAAAAGAAAATAATTTGGGGGAACATCTGCACTAGGTTATTCAGTGACAGTCATTAAACCTCAAAAGAGTTTATTTCGTTCCTTTCCTACAGAAAGGGTTTTAGCTCCCAGACCTGGCAAAGCAAATCAAATCTGACTTTAGGAGATAGAAGCTCCTGGAGACCCACAGCCTCAGCAAAGGTTCTCCACTGAACAGACAGCTTCTGGCCAGATTCTCTCAGCTACCAGGCAGAGGCTCAGATTTAGAAAATGCAGCCTGGGCACAGCTGGTCAGGTCAGATAGTGGGTCAGGCTGCCAAGTCTCTCTCTGCTCTCTTCCATCAGAAGATGAAGATTGTGTTCAGCCTATTCAATATGTGGAATGAATTCTCATGAAGGTGATCAAAGCAAAGGGCGTACTCTGTCAGGAGAGAAAAGCTTTCCACCAGCAGGGTGAAAAATAGGAAAAGAATAGGTTTACCAGCTCTTCTGTCCCTGCCTGGTTAGCTAATTGCTCATCATGCTTATTTGCTTTGCTACACTTGAAATGGGTAGAAATCTGTGTTTGAGAACTGCTGAAGTATTTGAGGTCTGAGAACATAGAGCAACCATTTTCATTACAGTAACCAAGTCACAGAATGGTAGCTTTAAATGGGAAGGATAATAATGCATTACAGATTCACTTTCAATTAATCCAGAGCCTGCAATGCTGAATGCACTTAGTCCGTGAATTTTCTCAGAAAATGAAGCTAGAGTGTATTTCACTTATAAATCACAGAAGACACTTATTTGGCAAGAACGACCCCCTGCTCATATACAATAAATCATGAACATCAACAGTCTCTAATGGATTTTGAGTCAGTGCCACATACAGCAAAGCCCGGGGCCTGTGTTTCAGGATTCCAGGACTGTGCCAAAGAAGCCTTATAAATGATTAATGTATTCAGCACAGTGTCATCTGTGCCATTGGAGAGAAAAAGACATTCAGGGGCTCCGTTTGTCATTAAAAAAGTGATAATCAGTTCAGCAGCAGACCATGGTTCTCCCTTCCCCTGCCAGAATAAACCATTTAGCTCCAGACTTAATAAAATCCCTCCCCAAAACTTCACACATGTTCTTCTTTCATGGTGTGCAACGCTGCAGTAAGAGAAAAGAAATGGAAACAGACTTTTTTTTTCCCTAAGCAGCCCTCCAAATCCAGACTTCGGGGGAACAGAGTTGGGGTTTGCACTTGGAAATGTATGTTCAACATGGGGTTACATTACATAGGTGGCTGGGGCCTCTTTCTACTTGGATGTCAATACATAGACAATACAAGTTTTGGTCCCTTCTGCTCAGTCACTCATGTTTTCCAGTTATCCATCCCACAGTTTTCAATCTCTCCCCCTTTACTTTTATCCCCATGGTTACTGAATCACTGTGTTCACAGAGATTTTCCTCACTAAAGAATGTGACTAACATGAGACAGCTAAATTATCAGAGCCAACTCCAACACTGATTTTTCTTAACAAGGATCTTATCTTCCAAACGCTTTCAAATAGATCTGTTGCACTGGCACCAACTTCAGAGTAAGCAGTGCTTCAACTATTGATAGAGACAGAGCTGCAGCAGCACTGTACATGGAGACTTAAAATAGTCTGGAATCAGGTAAATGATGAAATTTAAATGCTAGCTTTAGCAGACCTGCAGCTTAGAAATACGTGATACAAATAATTCCGAGATGTATTTTACAAAAAAAAAGAAAAAAAGTAACCCCTAGAAGGGAACCCATTATTTCCTGATAAGACCTGGCTCTAGGAGTTCAATAGATTTCCTCTTTTAAGAAATAGTTTAGCTGAGCAGTACGATACAGATGTTTTAGGCCCCAAGAAATCTCTGTTACACAATGCATTCAAGACAGACCATCAAAAAACAAGTCTACTAACCTCCAGCCACAGCAACCAGCATATGCTGACCCAGGGGTCACTGGAGCTGTTCCCACACTGTCCAGCCTAGGCTGCCCTCAGGGCAGAACAAACTGAATCTCTTCCAAACCACCGAAAATATATACATTAAGCATCATTCACACTTGGGAGGTCTCTCTCCCCTGTACTCATAGCATCTATTGAGCCACAATTGCCGAGACCCTAAAGCAAGGGTAGCAAGTTGACACCTCAGGTAAGCATCACCACAGTCATGAGCCAGCATACACAAGACTTAAGAAGAAATGTGGAAGTCTTACCTTGGCCGCTACGGAGGAGTTGGGCTTCTCCAGGAGGTCCCAGAGCTTTTTCCTTTTGTCAGCGCAGCAAGTGTTATCAAATTCCTCCCCTTCCCTTTCCCTCAATGTCTCAGCTTCTCTTTTCAGCTCCTCATTCATCTGCTCCTTCTTCTGATGGTAGCGGGCCTGGCAGCAGGACTCCAGGTAGATCTCATCCACCCCCCAGTAGTCCAGCTCTTGGCTGAAGGACAAGGCGCACATCTCCTCCATCATGTGCAGCTTGCCAGTACGATAGAAGTTCAAGATTGAGGTGAATGCCCCGGGGTGCCTGTCAAAGAAGTACTCATTCTCCTCCAGGTTGTAGTCATCACAGATCTCCATGAGGGAGTCGTGTGTGTTGCAGTCTCTAAGCTTACCCAGCCTGGTCCGTGGCAACCTGTCCAAGGTCCGCCAGAGAACCTCGTGGGCCAGCCCCCCCACATTGAGCTTGACCCTGCGGGAGCAGGCCTTGCTCCTGACGATCTCCGTGGGGTCCGGAGGCAAAGAGGTAGTAGAGCGAGATCCATGCTTATTCATCCCCAGAGGCATCGCTGGTCCCCCTCAGGCTGGATGCTCCAAGGTGCGGTGTGGGGCAGGGCGCGCGGGGGGCCGGCTCTCCTCACCTCTCCTTCCCCTCCATGCCCCAGAGCTGCAAGAGAAGCCAACCATGGGTCCCTGCCCGCTGACCTCCGCTCCCGCGGGCCGCCTGCCCGCCGGCCTTATCCCCGCCCGGGGCAGCCCGGCCCCGCTAATCTGCTCAGGGGGAGGCGGCGGCGCTGTCCGCCCTCGCGGTGCTGAACCGCGCTCCGCGCCCCGCTCGGGCGGACGGCCTCGGGCAGGCGCTGTCCGCGCCCGCGGTGCTGAAGGCCGCCCGCTCCCACGTGGCGGAGCGGCGGCTACCGCCGAGCTCCCCCGGGCGGCGGCCGGGTGCTGCCCTCTCTCCCGGTGGGTCCCAGGCTCTGCCCGGGAGGGTTGCCTGTACACCTCGTCTAGAGAGCTAAGGAGGCTGGGTACGGCTTCAGCAGCCTCTTCTGGCAAAGGGCTGGCTGGGAGCTGCTGACTTAAAGGGAGCTCCCCTGAGCACCGCTCGGCGCTGCTCCCCGAAAGGTGCCCGGCCGCCAGCCACGGATGCGCTGGTACGTTGTTTCCCATCCCGGAGCCACCGGACAGGAGCGCGCCGGCCCCACCATCGACAGTCCCCGAGTGCTCGGACCCGCCGTTCCCTCGCCCAATGGGGCCCTGCTGGACAGCAGGCACAATACCCCGGGTGCCCCCACGACCCACCCGGGCAACTTTCTCCCGCTCTGCCCGGCCGTGGAGGCGGCAGGTAGGAGCAGAGGCTTTTATAACTCCAGCCTTGCAAATTTCCCCGAGGAAAGCTCTGAACGAGAAAGAGGGAGTATTTCCAGTCACTCTAACGACGCTCTCTACCTCTCTGGGCTATCCAGGGACGCCTCCCCATACCCCACGCAGCCCTCTGCATAACAGGAAAATCAACGAAAATGGGAATAAGAACCACCCCCGAGCCTTCCTTGCAAAGCCAGTGCCTTATAACAGCCCCAAGCACTGTTGCTTACACAAGATGGCACGAAGAGAAATCTCGGCGCAGAAAGGAACGGCTTTCTCTCTGCTCATCCGGCACGGCGCCGGGGCTCGGCCCCTCTCCCCATCGATCTGGGTGCCCCCACGTCGATAGCGAAACCCCGACACTGCCTTCAGCCCTTCCCCGGGGCCGCTCCTGGCCGCAGCCCCACGCGGGAGAAAGCTCTGCTCTCCCGGCCCGAACCTACCTCCTCCTGCGGGCTCCCAGCGAGGCGGCGCGGGGCTGTGCGGGACCGAGGGCGGCTACATCGTGCGTCGGGGCGGGCAGCCGGGATGGCCCCGCTCGCATCCCCCCGCGGGCAGCCTCGAGGCGGAGGGATGGCGGCCGCGCTCCCGTCTGGCCACGGAGTCCGGGGGGCGGGGGGAAGGGAAGCGAGGTAAATCGGATCCCTCGGCAGGAAGCTTTCCAAGGCCTTCCTTCGGCTGCGGCTCCTCGCTCCTGCCTGCCGTCAACTCCGAAGCCGCATCTGCCCCCTTCCCCCACCCTTCTCTTAGTGAAGACACAAAGGAAAGCTTCGATACTTCCTTCTGCTGCCTCGAAACGGAGATCAACAAGTCTAGTCTGAACCTCCAGCTTTTCCCTGCAATTCTGTCCCGGAGTTGTTTGGAGTGAATTGGAAGTTGGGGGTGGAAGAGAGGAAGGCAGCTCCACCGTGAGCTGGGATGCAGCATTGCAGGGAAGGTTAACGCTTTCCTGACCTGGCCCCGCCGCCCCGGGGCTGATTTACAGCGAGTGAAGCGCCTGGACCAGATCTAACACCGAGAGGAGAGCTGCAGCATCCTTCCGTAGCAGTAGGACTCTTCCCACCATCCTCCAGCTCCCTGTGGTATCATCCGTGAAAGCGGGAGCAGGGATTGGTGCCAGGAGAAAAACGACAAGCAGAGTGTGCTGATAAGCCCAGCAGGGCTGTTATGGCTTTCTAGGCCCTGCTTGCTGAGCTAAGAGCAGCTGAGCTCTGTGAAGCTGCACATCTTCATGCAAGGAGTGAGTCGGGCCATCACCCTCACACTAGCAACCTCTCATCAAAGGGAAAGCCTACACTTAGAATTGTTACATGTATTTGCAGATAGAGATGGAAGGAATAATAACAGATTTTTGATCTGATCTCTATGTAATAGAGCATCTGCTAACCAGAAAATACAACATTCAAAGTATCTTTTTAGCACTCTGTTCTCTTTCCCCTCCAACAGGGGAAAACGGGTCTCAACAGGAGCCTGTGCCTTCATTAGCATTACTTATTGGGTACATTAGCACCACTTAATGCAGCTCACCTGCTTAGGCAGGTGTGGCAGAGGTACACAGCTCTGCTCATTAGCCTTTTCTCCCCTTTGCATTGGTTGGTCGTGCCTCTTGGATTTTGTAGTGACAATTCCTACTATGAGGTTTTTAAACCATGAACCCAGTGTATATGTGATTAACCTGAGAAAAAGACTCTCAGTGCTGCTTCTCCCTATTTCATATGCTTCTCCCTTCACCCCCATCTGCCTCCCATTGCCTAGTGTATGCAATATCACTGTTATGCTACTATTTTTGGTATTTGAGTGTCCATACCTGTTTTAGAGATGACCTTCTGAAATCTCAATGAGTTTTTTGGGGTTTTTATTGTTTTTTATTTTTATTTTTTCTCCAGACTTTCTTATAAGGAGAAGTGAGTCACTTCTGCAGTTGGGGAAATAAAGGCACAGAAAATCATTTAGTGTGGAGGTGTGAGAAAAGTTTGGGAATAAATCCCATTAACAAGCCCAATCCCACCTCTTCTGAAGTAGCTCCTCAGTCCAAGACAACCTGCAATCAGTATCCAGAGCACTTCAGTTCTCCTCTTACTTTCCCTTCATTTCACCTCTAGACCCTACTTTACTTCTCTTACAATAGAGATGAAAATTCCTGATTAGGCTGTGAAGCTAAATCTGTTAATGGTTATGAAGTGCCTTAAAACTTCCAGCTGGCAGTGCTGTATGAGAGCAGGTTATTTGTTTGTTAGCACTGGCATCCAGGGCACATTATCTCCTGTTGTGACAAATGGAGGCCACTCTTCTGCACGAAGAGAATGGTTGGAGGGAAAATGACAAGTAGCCTAATACAGGGACATGCATCAGATTCAATACAGCTAAATCATAGGGAGAGAAGCAATTCATTTTTATTTGCAAGGCATTTGTATCTTTCCACATCACTTTTGCTACACTGCCCATGTCACTCACATGGTCTGGCAAGAGGCCGGGGAACCAGCCACGGGGAGGGGACACAAAAGGGCAGCATGTAGGCACTGCTCCTGCACTGTTCACTCTTCCACACTCTCCTTGGCAGTATGAAGGATTATGCTCAAGCCTCAGGTAGAACTGCAGGATGGCACCCTGCAGATGGCTGTGCCTGGGGTGATCTGGGAGCCTGGATGAGAGGAGAGAATGTTCCCAGCCCCAGGATGTCCATTCTCTGCAGCACTTCTTGTTCCACGGCTGGTGAGATTGTCAGCAAGGGGCAGAGCAGGCCTGAGGATGCAGAAATGTGCTGTCCGCTCTCTCTTCTCCAAGGTTATCTAACCTACTCTTGCTTTAGATATTCCTTTTGATTGATATTTTTGTACCCTGAGCTTTTCCAAACTTTATTTATGGTTTGTTATTTCCACAGCCTATGGAGCCAGCCAAATGCCTGAATGCAGCCCATGGCAAACCCTCTTCCTCCCTGCGTATTATAGCTGTTATTGACAAGGAAATACTTTAAACCTCAAGTACTTAAGGGGAAATGCACAGAGTATGATACAAATGTGCTCCCCTGGGCTCATAAGCAGTGGTATATACAGACTTGAATTTAACCTGCCAGGCAGAAGAGTTTGGAAGGCACTGTTTCTCAGACCACAGCATGACCACATGACCACAACATGGCCATACAGCACATGGTGGTGGTAATGGGTTGATGGTTGGACTAGATGATTTTAGTGGTCTTTTCCAACCTTGATGATACTGTTATTTTATAACAGCAAAGCAGGCTGAGCTTAGATGTGACAGTATCCCTCTGCAGTGCCTCCTCTGCCTGCATAAAGAGAAGCATCACATCTTCACAAACACCCACACTGCACAGCAGTCAGGCATCTCTTGTCCATCCTCTGAAGCAGGAGAGGAGACTGATTTGCATCACTGGACTGGTCACAGTGAACTAGTGGCTGTGAGAAAGAAAGGCTCCTTGCACATAAACAAGCCTGCAGCTGTCACAGCAATGGCATTTGGAACAATGGGCTTCCAGCAGAGAGCGGCACAGCAGATTTGGTGGCTCGTGAGTTTTGGCTGGTTCCCGATGCTGAGGGATGCTGGTTTTCATATCCTAAATTGAGTTAGAAGTTGTAACAATAACCCATATTGTTCTCACAGCCCCAGGGCCCTGTGCTTGTTCTTACGAGTGGGAAAGGCTGTCATGCAATGAGCTGTCTCAGTTCCAGTGCTTCCTATTATGCCCCTTTAAGGATTCCCTTAGTTTCCAGGGATTTTCTTTCCAGCGAAGAAACACTTAAGATATAATGGAGATTTCTTTTATAGTCCAAAATCCTTTCCCTTAAATGGGAAAGAAAATTATCAGGTTTCTTGGCAGAGGTCTGTAATAAGTGTTGAAAAGTGCAGAAGGAACTGAGACGAATGGGGCAGAGTAGTTGAACTACTGAGAGCCCAAGAGCATGAAAATAGTGGAATACCAGGGAAAAATGCTGGAAGCAACCAGCAAAATACAATCCAAAAATGAAACATAAGTGCTGTGCCCTCTTTAGAAAAGCCAAGCAGAGCCTGGATGTCAATGTCAGCAACAGCTGGGCTCCATCATTGTTACATTCTCTGTTGTGAAATCTGCTCTGGGAGGGTTTCAGCTGAAGCTGCAGCTCATGGTGCTGTGGGGGGAGCAGGCTCTGCT